TTCAGAGGTTGAAGAGACTGTCGATGGGAGTAGGCGCGTGGCAGCGGCTCTGCCGTGTGGCCGTCGACTCCGACGGCGACGCACTCCGCTTCACTGTCCGCCAGTACGGCTCGCCGCCATCCTTTTGCCACCGAGGCACGCTGACATTGCTGGGGGGGGGGGGGGGGGTCATGCTATGCGGTGGGGCCACTGCCAGTCAGTAGTGTCTCGTGCTGCCCCTGCAGGCACGCTGACGTGCTGGGGCTTCCCGAGCGGCCTACGCGCGCTGCAGGAGACGCTGCAGTCGCGGCGCGGCGCGGCGGCCCCTAGAAGCGGAATCTCTCCCCGTATCTCCCCCGTATCTCCCCATATCTCGTGAGCAGGGGCAGCGGGGCCTAGAAGCGGAGCCGTGTTCTTGTGCTCCCAGTAGCGCTCGAGACGACACGGACTCCGCCGTACTCGGCCGCACTCCGCTGTGCACATTGTACTCGCCTCCCTCGTACTCACGCGGTGCCACAAGTACTCTGCCCGACACCGTCCTCCCGCCCTCATGCCGGCGCACTCACACCGCAGGCTCGGCACCGGCCGGCTCGTACACCAAGCGGCTCTTTGACGACTCGACCCTCCTCCGCTCCAAGCTTGTGGAAGAGGTTCGCGGGAGCTGGCAGAGGCGGAGGGTCATCTCGGGGCATCTCGGGGCATCTCGGGGCATCTCGGGGCATCTCGGATCATCTAGGCGCAGGAGCTGGCAGAGGCAGAGGAGCCAGACGACATCGCCTCTGAGGCCGCCGACCTCCTCCCCGAGATTACCCGAGATTACCCGAGACTACCCGAGACTACCCGAGATTACCCGAGACTACCCGAGATTACCCGAGATTACCTCCACATCGCCTCTGAGGCCGCCCACCCCCTCTTCCTTAAACTGAGGACGACCTCGGGTAGTCGCGGGTCATCTTGGGTATATCAGTTAATATTGATTAATGAGAGTTGTTAATTAATGGTAGGCCGCCGACCTCCTCTTCTTCGCGCTCGTGCGCTGCGTCGCCGCCGGCGTCACTCTCGCCGACGTGGAGGCGCATCTCGACGCGCGCGCCCTCAAGCTCGCGCGCCGGCCGGGCAACGCAAAGGCGTCTGGGGAGTATTGCTAGTCTGGGACTGCTACTCATATACTCATGTGATCGCGCGCCGGCCGACGCAACGCAAAGGCGTCTCGTGACAGCGCCGCCGCCACCATCCTCTCGGACAAGGCCAAGCGCGCCGCCGACAAGGGCCCGGTGGCGGCGTGGAGTCAGGCGCCGTCGGCGGGCGCTCTTGCGCTCGCCGCCGCCGCCGCGGCCGCGGCCGCCGTGGCGGCGGCGGCCGCTGCGCGCTACAGGGGCTGAGCGGGGCCTCTTGCTTGCGCCGGTTCGCGCCGCCCGGCAAGGTACCCAAGACCCCCCGAGACGCCCCGTCGCCATGTGCGGCGCAGCGGCCGGTTGTCTTTGCTGGCGCCTCGTGGGAGCGGTATCGGCCGGCAGAGCAGGGCAATCGAGTGTGTTTCGTGCGCCCGCGTTGGATGGATGAGATACGCCGCGCAGTCCCTTTTCGACGCATGTCGTCATTCTCGGGGCGCACGGCACACTCTTTCCATCGAGCATGTCCAAACTGATCTATAAGAACGCGCCAGAAACCGAAAATGCGCGGCGTGAGAAACTCAATATAAAGCCGTAAGGGAATTTTTGATTTTGTGGATCGACGATCGTTGTTCGTTCCCCCGGGTGCCCGGATGTGGGATGAACCGAAGAGAGGGGCCGGACTGTAAGAGACTGTGAAGAACATAGGAAGGGGTTAGGGTTCTGTACCCTGTGAGTGTGCGGTACCTGCCAAGGGTGTGTGGACCGCCCTCCCTGCAGGCTGCAGCAAGCTGAAATCGAGCAAAACACCGCCTACCGCCCTCCCGGCAGCAAGCTCCGCCGCATCGCCTCGCGCACCATCTCCTCCTCCGCGCCCTCCGCGCCCTCCGCGCGCCCGGCCGCCCCTCGCGGGCGGCCCTTGCCGCCACGGCTCTCGCTCAGCAGCCGCGCCACGACCGCGGCGTCGTGGTCCGCCCGCGGCCTCTTGCCGCCGCCCAGCACGTTGCCCGCGCCCCAGCCACCGCCGCCGGCGAGAGCGGCGGCAGCCCCGACGGCGGCGGCCGGCAACGACGATGAGGCGCCACCCAGGCCAAATGCGCCGCCGAGCGTGTGCATCGCTCCACCGATGGCGCCGCCCAAGCCGCCCAGGCCGCCCAACACGCCGCCGCCGCCGCCGCCGCCGCCGCCGAGACCCTTGAGCGGCTCCTTGTGCGCTGCCGCCGCAGCGTGGCCAAGATGGCCATGATGGTGGCCGAGAGGGCCGTGGGCGCCCTGGGGGCGCAGAAAGACGAAGTAGAGCGGCAGCATCGCCGCCTCGCCACACAGGGTGAGCTAATTAACATATGAACTAACTAATTAACGAGTGATTGAGATGTTAATTCGCGCCTCGTCAAACATGATCACCTCGCTGCCGCTCGCGTCCGACACGTGGCTCGTATAGCCCGCCTGAAGCCCTCGCCCTTGCTGCAGCGGCGCGAGGAACGGCTTGCCAACGAGGAGCTTACAGAGGAACATGCCGTCGTTCCTACAGGGTGAGTACGCCGACATGAGGGCGGGAGGACGGTGTTGTGCAGTGTCTTCCGAGCGCCGCGTGAGTACGAGGGGCGCGAAGACAGTGAACCAGCCTCGGGGCGGGAAGACGGTCTCGTACGGCGTCTTCAGAGCGCCGCGTGAATACGAGGGGTGAAGACAGTGAACCACAGTGGAATCGGCTGAATACCGTTGAATACGTGTCCTCTCGAGCGCTGGCTGGGATGCAAGAATCCGTGCTCTGCTTCTAGGATGAGTCGCTCCCGCTGTTGTATCCCATCGACATCTGCAGCTGCTCCGAAAAGTAGATTCCCGCGCCGTAGAAGCCCGGGTCGGTCGTTGAGCCGACCTTGGAGATGATTAATAGGTAACCAATAATAAATGAATGGTTGGTTAAGTAATAGTTCGACCTTGGAGAGCTTGAACCCTTCCGCCAGGATCGGGCGCACGTTTGCCTGCCGCGTGCCGTGGAAGGCGAAGAGGATGGTGTGGTTGCCTATTCATTAAGAGTGAATGAAGAGTCACTCAAGAGTCACTTCATAGTTAATTAAGAGGATGGTGTGGTTGCCTATTCATTAAGAGTGAATGAAGAGTCACTCAAGAGTCACTTCATAGTTAATTAAGAGGATGGTGTGGTTGCCTATTCATTAAGAGCGAATGAAGAGTCACTCAAGAGTCACTTCATAGTTAATTGAGAGGATGGTGTGGTTGCCTATTCATTAAGAGTGAATGAAGAGTCACTCAAGAGTCACTTCATAGTTAATTAAGAGGATGGTGTGGTTGTCTATTCATTAAGAGTGAATTAATTAAGAGTCACTCAAGAGTCACTTCATAGTTAATTAAGAGGATGGTGTGGTTGCCTATTCATTAAGAGTGAATGAAGAGTCACTCAAGAGTCACTTCATAGTTAATTAAGAGGATGGTGTGGTTGCCAGGGCCGTACGTCGCGTCGTAGTCCGCCTTCTTGGCGTGCCAGCGCGCCTGATGCCATCGTCGCTTAGACTCCCCGCCAAGCGGGGCGAACACGGCGGCCTCTCGCAGAATGGCTCTCTGGGAGGGGGTGAGCGTCACTACCGCTCCTCCCCGTGTCTGCGGACTGGCGCGTGTGCCCCGTCCTGTGCCGCGTCCTCTGCCCGCGAGTGGGTGTTGTGTTCTGCCAGCGCGGCCTCGAGAGCGGGGTGGAAGTGGTAGTCGATGCTTGCGATCTGCGCCGCCACCCCTCCGCCGCGGCAAAACGCGCTCTCCGCGAGGCGGTAGTGCTGCTCCTCGGGAGTCTCTTCGGTCGATCGAGACGCGCGTAGCGTCCACGAGCTGCGCCTGTGGACGTGTCCCGGACGTGTCGTGGGCGTGTCGTGGACATGCCTCGAGGGACGTGCGAGGCGAGCGGCGCCTAGGGACATGCACATGTCATGCACGCGTTGTCTTGGACTCGCGAAGCCAGGCCGTGTCCCAGCCGAGCGGCGCCTACGGGAGAGCTAAGGGAGGGGCTCCGGGAAAGCTCGTCGAAGCCTCTTGGCCCCGAACCCAACTCGGCCTGCGCTGCTGCCTCGCCTCGAGCTCGCCCGGCAGCAGCGGCTTGCCGCTCGCACCGAGACCGACCCCGTTGGCCGCCTCCAAGTCGATCACCTCTTCGGCCCCCAGCGCCGACGCAGCGTCTCGCCGAGGCGCGGGGCCGCCGCCGGCCGCCCTCGCCGCCCTCGCCGCCCTCGCCGCCCGCCGCTTTGCGCGCTCGCCGCCAGATGGCCCGGCTGCGATGAGGTCGAGTGTGACTGGTGCTCGCGCCTCCGTCACCCGCACCTCGTCTTCGTCGTCGTCGTCAGAGATCAGATCGTGCACGACCACCGCCCCGCTCGCACTGGGTGGGCGCGCAGCCGCGGGGGCGGCGACCGCCGAGTCTGCAGCCGCCGGAGCCGCAGCCACTCCATCGAGCACAACGCGGAGCTGGCAGCGCTGCGACCTGGAGAGTGAGACGAGCTGGCCGTATGCGAGCGGGACGGCCTGGCCCTTGGCGAGCCGCGTGGGCTGGTCATCCTCAGCGTCGTGGATGTGGCTCGGGCTCCCGCTCATGCTCGTCACGGTCACTTGCGCACCATCGGCAGAGAGCCTGAGATCAAAGTGCTCGCGCGAGATGCTCTTTGCGTCCGGCGCACCATCAAACTGCGCTCGGCCGACGACGACGCTGCCGCCGGCGAGAACGCCGCTCTTGCGCCACTCGCCGTCCGGCGACAGGCGAGTCTCGATCCTTGCTGGCATCCTGAAGGAGTGCTGGGCGCGCTGCTGAATTCCAGCGACTCTCTATAATGTGAGAACGCAGACGCAATTCTTTTTTCCTTCCCGCTCTTGAGAAACAGCGCTCCGCCATTCTCCCTCTCCCCTGCGATGTCTTTCTCCCTCACCGGCGTCGACGACGAGGCAACGCAGCGCTGCTTCGCCCACATCCACGACCGCGTCCGCGCCACGCTCGTCCGCGGAGAGCCCGTCACCGTCGCGGGCGGCCGTCCCGTGCGGCGAACGCTCAAGCTGCTGCGGGCGCTCGCGCGGGGGCACTGGATCGTCGGCGAGGAGTACGTCGCCGCGTGCGCGCGGAATCGCGGCGTCGCCGTCGACCCCGCCCCCTTCGAGGAGGGGATGCTCCCGCACGTCCCGGGCGCGCAACTCTCGCGGCTGAGCGGAGGCGGCCGCGCGCTTGCGGGGCTCACCGTGACGCTGCGAGGCGCGACGGTGATGCCGCACGCCGACCTGTGCTCCCTCTGCTGCGAGGCGGGTGCGCGCGTCCAGTACGGACGCCCCATCTCCGACGCGGGCGCCGTCGAGGTATATGCCCTCTCCCTCCCGCCTCCCCTCCATCTCTCTCCCTCCCCGACTCTCTTCTCCACTCCCTCGGCCTCGGCCTCCGCCCCTCTCCTCCCTCCCCCGCCCCCTCCCAAGCCGGCCACGCCAGTCTCGGGGCCCTCCTCCGAAGCGTCGCTCGGAGCCTTCCCGCAGGTGCACCGCAATCAGCCGCGCGCCCGCCTTGCCGAGGCGGCCGTCTCTCGCCTCCACCGGCGCGGGACACGTCCACGACACGGCCGCGACACCCCACATAGGCGGATGAGCAGTGGCTCCTCGCCACCATCACCTCCGGCCGCCCGGCCGTCGCCGACGCGCCCGCCCTCGCCCACCGTCCCTCCACCGCCGCCGCCTTGTCCGCCCCGCCGTCCTCGTCCGCCTCTGTCCTGCCGCCCTCTTGGCGGCGCGACGAGGCGGCAGCTCGCCGGCAAACGGCCACCGAGCCGCCCGCAGCAGCTTCCGCCAGCCGCGCGGCAGCGGCCCCCGCCGCACCGGCAGCGGCCGCCAGCGCGTCTGCTGCCGCCAGCGCGTCTGCTGCCGCCAGCGCGTCTGCTGCCGCCAGCGCGTCTGCTGCCGCCAGCGCGTCTGCTGCCGCCAGCGCGTCTGCTGCCGCCAGCGCGTCTGCTGCCGCCAGCGCCGCCGCAGCGGGCGGCCCGAGGGGGAGTCGGTCGGGGCGGCGGGCAAGCCAGGTCCGACCCACACGCGGGCCCCCACCCGCCCGCTTCGGGGATGGCGACGGAGGGGCAGGCTGCAACGCGTCGTCTTGGGCCAGCGCCGCGCCGCCGCCCGCCCGAAAGGAGGCGGCGGCTAGCAGTCCCTCCGCCGGCGAGGGCCCATTCGGCGCCTCCTTTTCGACCTCGCGCCGCGCCGCCCTCGCTGAGCTGCGCAACGCGGGCGCGTCGCCCAAGCCGCCACCGCCGTCGCAGGCCAAGCCCCTCTCGCCGATCAAGCGGACCACGCGCGCTCGCGCCGCCGCCACGGCGCCGCGGCTCAGCTCGCGCGTCTCTCGCTCCTCCTCCTCCTCCTCCGCCTCCGCCTCCGCCGCCGCCTCCACTTCCTCCACCTCCGCCGCCGCCGCCGCCGCCGCCGCCGCCGCCGCTTCCGCTGCCGCTTCCTCCTCCCCGCCGCAGCCCACCCCGCCGCCTCCGGGCAGCTCGCGGCATCGCCCCACCCGCCGCTCGGTCGAGTACACCGTCGCCCCTCCCGCCCCGCCCGCCGCCACGGCGGCGGCAGTCCCCCTCGCCGCCTCCGCCGCCGGCCCCGACCTCTCCTCCTCCGGTGTGACCCTCGAGCTGCAGCCTCCGCCCGCCGCCTTTGGCAGCTTCTCGCCCGCAGAGGCGCATCTCGGCTCACCTCGGCTCATCTCGGCTCACCTCGGCTTCATCACGGCTCCTCTCGCCTCCTCTCGCCTCCTCTCGCCTCCCCTCGCCTCCTCTCGCCTCCTCTCGCCTCCTCTCGCCTCCTCTCCTCTCACCTCCCCTCACCTCCCCTGACCTCGAGTGATGATCTCGCAGGCGCACGCGCTCCGGCTCTACCGGCGCAGGCTGCCGGAGTGCAACGTCGACCTCCCTCCCGACGTTCCCTGCTCGCCGGCCCACCCCGGGCTCAGCCCGCAGCGCAAGCGGCGCGGCGCCGACTTTCTGCACTTGCTCGTGCACGGCCAGGGCGCCCGCACCGCTGTCGCTCGCCTCGAAGGGAAGGAGTCGATCGTCGGGGCGCTCACCCTGATCCCGCACGCCGCCGCCTCCTTCTGCGAGGCGCGCGGCGCCTCGCTGTCTCGCCACTGTGCACGGCGCTCTCTTCACAGCTGCACCCGCGAGCACAGGTGCAGCTCCTCGCCGTCGCGAGCAGCCACGCTGGCCGCGGCATCGGCGCGGCGCTGCTGGGCGCCGCCGAGGCATGGCTCGCGGAGCAGCTCGGCGTGCGCACTGTCGTCGTGCTCGCGGGCCACGACACGGTCGGCTTCTGGCGCAGGCGGGGCTACGCCGAGGCCGCCCCGCCGTCCGGCGCGCCGCTTGCTCGCCGCGGTCGCAAGGGGCGGCGCGGTGACGAGGGGGCGCGGCCGGCGCTGCTGCCCGAGCAGTGGTCGCTGGTGCGGGACCCGTTTGGAAGCTCACAGCCGATGGTCAAGCAGCTGTGAGGCGGCGGGCGGGCGGAGGGGGCAGGAGCGCGCGCCGCGAAGCGGGCAAAGCGCCGCCGCGCCGCAAATGTGTGCATCTCAACGCGAGCCCCGTGTACTGTACAATGGTGTGGTGGGGCAGGCATGCATGTCCATGTGTGCGCTCGAGAGAGCGCGAACGGAGAGAGGGCGCGCGCGGCACTTGCCACTCTTTTGGCGGAACCGTGCGTTAAAAAAAATTGTTCCAGTCTTAGCAAGCAAAACCAAAAGGGAGCACACGATAGACTCGAGGGGCCAGGATATGCAGCGAGGAGGGCGGAGCTGCGCCGAAAGGCGCAAGAAGCCGCGAGAGCAAGGGACCGGCAGGAGGCGGCGGCGCCGCAGAACGAAGCAGAGGAGAGCGACGCGACAGAAGAAGAAGAGACAAGGGAAAGAACGACGAGAAGGGGGCGACCGCGAGGTGGCATGAAGGTCGCAGCGAGAATCTGCGAGAGACTGCGAAGAGAGATAGGAAGAGGCGAACGCCCAAGGGTGGGCGAGGGCTAGCGCATCACACCCCTCTCCTTAAAATCCCTGTGTGGTGGCGGCGTGCCGTCCTCCCATCCCTCCCTTGGTTGTCCGTTTTCTTTCTTTCTTTCTTTAGCACACACGACTTAGCCGTGCGTATGTTGGGTGTTCTAGTTTCAGAATTTTTCTCAGCGTGAGCGAGACGTGGAAGAGTGCCACCGTCTTGGAGTTCCGTTGGAAATTCTCTCACACAATAACATTCTCGAAGCACTCGAATCTCTCATCGATCGCGGATGCTACGCGTCCGTCCGCGCGATGCAAGTAATGGCTCTGCTCCTGCCCGCCGCGTGGATCGCCTCGCCTCTCAGCGCTCCGAGCACGAAGGCGCCGCACCTTGCAATGAAGGCGTACTATGAGCAGGTGGACGGAATCAACCGCGACAAAAAGGCGCTAGAGCTGGCGCGAAAAGCAGTATCCGGCAAGTACGACGGGGTAATATCCATCGACGATGCAAAGGGCATCGGCCAGTCGCTTCTGGATGGCAAGGGTGTCACCGCAACAGAGTTCAGCACGGCTTTTGCCATCCTTCGCGACTATAAGTTCACTCCGGCAGGGCGCGATAAATTTGTATCGATGATGGCCGTTGCGCCGCCGGCTTAGGGGGCGACGATAAGTCACGCTCCGTCCGCGGCGGGCGCTGATCAGGTTTCTTTTTTCAGGACTCGACCACGTCATTTGGGGCCTGGAGCTTAGTTGTCGACCACGTCCTCGGTAGCACCAAGCACTTCCTGTCTGGCGAGGTTACAACGACTCCCATCGCGTCGCGGCGCTGTGAAGGACAATTCCGGGAATTATCTCGAAATGCTGCCAGCACTCCTCGTCTCTGCCGCCAGCTTCCTCGGGCCGCTCCCGGTGCAGCAGGGTCCGGTGGTGACGCAGCGCCGCGCGTCCGCCCCGGTGGCGAGCGTGGAGCGCCGCGGCGTGCTCGCCGGGTTTGCCGCAGCCGCGCTCGCTGCGACGCCAGCCGCGTTTGCCACGACCGACAGCCCGTACTCGCTCAAGAAGGACTACGTGGTGGACGCGAAGAACATGCTGGAGAACATGAAAACCGCCACCGAGCTGCAGCGCGGCAACCCAGAGATGGCGCGCCGCGGCGGCCACACGAGCGGCCGCGACGGCGGGCGGCGCTGACGCCAGCCGGCGCCGCCCTGGCTGCAGGAGACGATTGTGAAATCGACGCGTGCCGAGATGAACGACTTTGTCGCGTTCTACCGTCGCCAGCCCAAGATCTCGGGCATGCCCTCCTTTTCGACCCTCTGTGCGAGCCTCCCTCCTCGCACACTCCACCTCTCGTCGCCTATGCAGCCGCTTTGCCGGCCGCCTCGCCTCCCCACCCCCGTCTGCGCGGCCGCAGACACGGCCATCAACACGCTGTCGGGCCACTACGCCTCGTACGGCAACAAGTACCCCGTCCCGGAGAAGCGCCGCACGCGGTTCGTTTGCGGGGGACAGAGAGCGGAGGAGGGGAGGGGAGGGGAGGGGAGGGGAGGGGAGGGAGGGAGGGAGGGCCCGGAGGGAGGGAGGGAGGGAGGGAGGGGAGGGGAGGGAGGGAGGGCGAGCTTCGGCAGGGAGGGACGGGAGGGAGGGAGGGTGGCTTGGGGGAGAGGGGTCCGCAGCTCTACGGGAGGAGAGCCTCGGCGCCCGTGTCGCGCCCTCCCCGCTCCCGCCCTCACCCTCACCCCCTCCGCCCCCTCCACCCCTCCCGCCCCCTCCGCCCCGCAGGCTAGCGCAGCAGTACAAGGAGATCGAGCGGGCGCTCGCGCGGGGCAAGTAGAGCGGCCTCTCCCTCCGCCGCCCCTCTGGCCGGGCTGTGCTCGCTCGCGGCGGCCAGTCGCACGCGCGCTTGAGGGGGCTAGTGTGCAGCCAAACCACCCGCCGGGGCCATGTGCATGCCAGTGAGCTGGACCCACCCCTTGCTCTTTTATAAAATGAACTCGGGGGCACAGGACGCGGCACAAACGGGGTACACCAAAAGGCACGGGCTGCCTGCACGGCGTTTTCACTCGAACGCCATGCACATGGCGCGCTCTGGGCCGGCGCGGGGGCCCCAGAGGGTGTCCATGCGGGGGGGAGATGGGGTCCCATGGCCCGCCGCAGGCGCCGATTTTTTCGGATTGTTTTTCTTTTTTGGCGTTTTTTACTTGTTTTCATGGGAATTCGGCGTACTTGCGGCCATGCTATCACGCCTTGCGACAGCCTGTCGGCGCAGCTGACCGTGCCATGATGCACAATTGATCACCTGCATAGCTCGCGGCCTTAGTATCAAGCATTCAGTGACGACCTGATCGTACGGCCAGTAGGAAGGTGTCCTTCCATCGTGTGCACGCTTCTGACGCAATGCGCGTCACCTCGGATTGGCTGCTGGCACTCTCGAGGCTATGCCTACACAGCCTCGCGCGCATGGGCAGTCAAGAGGGACCACGCACCTTCTCAGGACAGCGCCGGTGCCTCTCTCTTGGACCGGCAAACTTGGTGGTATCGTGTCACCAATGTGGGACCAGTGCGGCATCGCGCCATCGACAGCTCTGAACTGCGCCTCACCACTGACCGGGAAGGCCGCCAAGTGGGCCAGCACAGGTCGCACATTGTGGCAGCAGTCAGCAGTGCATGGCTGATAGCTAGAGCAGCAGCGTCAGGGTCGCAGGGTCGGATCGTGTCAAGCCTCTCGCCCGGCCGGCCGCGTGCAGACGTCGGCCTGTCTGCTGTCTGGAGTGATCTGTCGGCGGTCAGTACGACCGATCAGGTCGGAGTTTTCTGATGGTTGGAGGGTCTATCTGTATGTACTCCTCGAGATCTCTCCAAATCTGCCCTCTACTTAACCGTACTTAATCGGGAAGTTGGTGCTAACGGAGACTAACGGAGCCGGAGCCCCGTTTCCGCACTGCGGCGCGGCGCACGGTGCCTCCGGGGGGCCCCGCGCCGGCCCAGAGTGGCGCGGAGCAGCCCCGGGTTGGTGTCGAACCCGAGCGGGTCCTCCTCCCAATCCCGGCGCCCACCCTCCGCGTCGTCCTGCTCATCGTGCGCGTCGTGCACCCTGCCGAGGCACAGGATCGTCCCCTTGCGAACGCCTGCCCCTCGCGCGCGCGGGAGCTCTCCCTGCACCGTCATCACGAACTTCTCGCGCGCCCACTTGCCGCCACGGCGGCAGTGCTGGGGCGCGCGCTCACGCAGCTCCTCGTAGAGCTCCTCGGCCCTCGCCACCTCCGCCGCCCAGCCCTCCGCCGACGCCTGAGCCGACTTCTTCTCCCCTTGCTTTTCGGGTAAACCCTCTGCAAATTCTCGTTTCGACAGGCTCCGCTGGCCCGGCGCTGGTCCTATGTACATGCTGTTTCTCTCCACAGCGGCCGCGGTCCCTCCGCTGGCCGGCTACACGCCCGCCACTCTCCTCTCGGTCCCCAAGACCTCCGCTGACTTCAGCTGCACATTTCGACATGCGCGGCTGTGCGAGTCCGCCTCCCTTCGCAAGGCGGCCGGAGAGAGCATCGAGCACCTGCTGCTCAAGGCTCTGGTGTGGGCGCTATACCTGCCCGCGCACCCCTCCGCCGTCTGCGAGCCCGGCCCGCTTTCGCGACTCGACGTGTACGGCGGCGGCCTCCCCTTCCACCCTGATGTGGTCGCGCTGACGCCGAGCGGCGAGCCTACCTGGTGGGCAGAGTGCGGGTCGGTGAGCGCGCGCAAGCTCGAGGCGCTCAGCAGGGCTCACCCGCGCAGCCGCTTCACCATCGCAAAGTGGGGGAGGTCTGACCTGCGTGGGTATGCTGCGCAGCTGCGCGCGTCGCTGCCTGCCGACGCTGCCGGACGCTTCGAGGTGATCAGCTGGCCGGCCGACGCGCCGGAGCGCTGCATCGACCAGGACGGCGCCGTGCATGTATCGTTCGACGACCTACTGGACCGGGAAGTTCTATAGAAGATATAGGGAGGACGGTTGGTCTGTAAAAACTTCCCCTTTCTCCCGGCGTGCGCGACACGGCTCTCACACGGGTCACGCGTCGCCCGTCGGCGTCGCGGTGTGTCTCTGCTCTCTCAGCCGTCGGGCCCCTCTTGCTTCCTCGCCGCCACACTGCCGGAGGCGGAGCCTGCTACCGCCAGGCTGTAGGTCGAGTACCCTGCGGCCCGTTTTGCAGAGCATCCCAGCGCCGGCGCGCAGTCGCACCACGAGTCCAGCTCGCTGTAGCTGAAGCCTCGGCCGCACGTGGGGATGGCGGCGACGGCGCGCGCGCACGCGGCCGCAGACGGCGCCTTGACGGACTCGTAGCATTCGCCTCCGCTGCAGATGCGGTTCGCGCAGTAGTGGCCCTTTTGCTCAAGAGCGAAGCGGACGCCGCTGTGCTGGCGGACGAGGGACGGCCTCGCCGACAGCCGAGTGGGCAGGAACGCGCTCTCCTGGCCGATCTCGCCTCCGGTGTCGTATCTCGCGTCGGTGCTGGAATTCAGCCGGCGCGAGCGGCGCATCGCGTCGATGTGGTCGCTGAAGGTCGAGCGGACTGAGCCGAGAAAGTGGCCCATCCGTGAGCACGCAACCATCTCGGCAAAGGCGCTGTAGACGTAGCGCGCCTCACAGCCGAATGTGGTGCCGCCCACCAGCCGCGGGCTCTCTGCGCGCAGCCCGCTGTCGATGAGCGAGCGCCGCAACTCGTGCAGCGCCTCGAAGCGAGCATTCGTGAGCACGAGCACGTTGGAGGCGCCCAACCGCCGAGACGTGCAGACCAGGGCGGGGAGCTAAGAAGCGAAAAAAGAAAGAAAACGGACAGCCCAAGCGAGGGATGGGAGGACGGCACGCCGCCACCACACAGGGATTTTAAGGAGAGGGGTGTGATGCGCTAGCCGTCGCCCACCCTTGGGAAGAACGCGCACCCAGCGGGCCGGGCGAGCGACTTTTTCTTCAGCGCTAGCCGTGCGCGGGCTCGCGCTCCCAACTCCGTGCGGAGCGATGGGCAAGAAGGACAAGAAGAAGGGCCGCCCCGGCGACGACTGGATGAGCGACGACGACGCGCTCGACCCGGACCTCGTCATTGTGTCCGGCCCTCCGAAGGACGAGGACGAGGCTGAGGAGGGCGGCGGCGGCGGCGGCGGCAAGAAGAAGCTCTCAAAGAAGGAGCAGAAGAAGGCTGAGAAGCGTGCGGCATTCGAGGCGGAGCGCGACGGTCTCGGCGAGGGCGGCGGTGGCGATGACGCTGCGGCGGGCAGCGGCGACGACGATGAGGAGCGACAAAGCGGGAAGAAGGGCGGCAAGGCGGGCGGCAAGGGCAAGGGCAAGAAGGGAGGCGCCGACTCCGACGAGGAGGCGGAGGTCGACGCCGACTTTGGCCGCAAGAAGAAGGGGAAGAAGGGGAAGAAGCATCGCGGCGACTCTTCCGACGACGACGACGCGGCCCCCGCGCCGGCGGCGGCGGAGGAGGACGACTTTGACTTTGGGTCAAAGAAGAAGGGCAAGAAGGACAAGAAGAAGGGGCGCGCCGCCGCGGCCGACGACGACGAGCCCGCCGACGTTGCCGAGGAAGCGGGGGGTGCGGCGGCAGCGGCGGCAGCGCCAAAGCTGGTTGCGCGCGTACTGAGCGTGGGCAAGCACCCCGACAAGAAAGCGACAAAGCTGTCGGTCTGCAGCGTGGACGGAGGCGGCGGCGCGGTCGCGGTGGTGTGCGGCGCGACCAATCTCCGCGAGGGTATGCTGACGGTGCTGGCGCCGGTGGGCGCCTCGGTCGCCACCCCAAAGGGCGCGCTCGCCATCAAGCCGGCGCAGGTCTGCCACACCGGGAGAGAGGCTGCAGCGCACTGTGCCCAGGGCAGCACTGTGCCCAGGGCCGCACTGTGCCCAGGGCAGCACTGTGTGGCCACATCGTCCCACACGCAGTCGAGGAGGGCAGCGCGCGCGACTCAGCCGCTGCAGGAGCAGCCCTCGTGCTCGAGGGCCCTGAGCTCACCGCACGACACGCCACACACACACACCTGGCTCGGCTAACCCGAACCCTAGCCCTAACCCTAACCCACACCTGGCTCGGCGCAGGCCCCCCCAACTCCCCGCATCTGCCCGCATCTGCCCGCATCTGCCCGCATCTGCCCGCATCTGCCCGCATCTCGTCGCATCTGCCCGCATCTGCCCGCATCTCCCCCGCATCTCCCCGCATCTCCCCGCATCTCCCCGCATCTCCCCACATCTCCCCGCATCTGCCCGCATCTGCCCGCATCTGTTCCGCATCTGTTCCGCATCTGCCCCGCATCTCGTCGCATCTCGCCGCATCTCGCCGCACCTCACCGCAGGTCCGTAGCGTCGACTCGCACGGGATGCTCTGCGGCAGAGGCGAGCTCGGGATGACCGCCGCGGGCGCCGCCTTCCCGACGGCGGTGGTCGAACTGCCCGACCAGACCATCCCGCCGGGGACGCCGTTCGAGCCGACAATGCTCGAGGCGGCGCCGGTGGCGGCGCCCGAAGCGGCGGCGCCGCCGCCCGCGCGCGCGCCCGCTGCTCCGGCTGGCGCCGGCGCGGGCGGCGGCGAGGCGGCGGGCGCGCTCCGTCAGTGGATGGTGGACGAGTGCGCGATCGGAGAGGCGGACGCGGCGCAGTACGCCGCGCTCCTCTCCGACGACGGCTTCGACTCGACCCTCGCTCTCTCGGCGATGGTTGACGCCGACTGGCCGGCCGCAGTCAAAAAGGGTCACCGTCGCACGATCGCGCGGCAGGCTCTCAAGGCGGTGGAGGCGGCGGCGGCGGCGGCGGCGCCCGCCCCAAAGGCGGCGGAGGGGGAGGCGGAGGGCAGCGAAGAGGAGGAGGACGAGCCGGCGGCCGCGCCCCGCTCAGCGATGGCGGCGGCTTTGATGGCAGACGACGACGACGACGACGAGGAGGAGGAGGAGGAGTCGGCGGCGCCTCCCGCCCGCTCCGCCTTCGCCGCGGCTCTGATGGGCGACGACGAGGAGGAGGAGGAGGAGGAGGAGGAGGCGGCGGGAGGCGACACGGCGGGCGCGACCGATCTGGCGTCGTGGCTCAGCAGTGTCGAGGTTCCGGAGGCGGCCGCGGCGGAGTACGGCCGCAAGCTGAGTGCAAGGTGCGGCGGCGGAGGCGTCGCCGCTCTCGCCGCCGCGCCGCCCTCGCAGGCGGAGCTGAGGGGCCTCGGCTTCAAGCGCGGCCACGCGGCGCTGGTCGCCTCCGAGCTCGCCTTCGCCAGGCAGTTGTCTGCGCTGCCCGCGCAGCCAGCGGCCACGGCGGCGTGGCTCGCACAGGCGCCCTCCTCCATCTCCGCCCCCTCCTTCTCCACCCCCCTCCCTCCCCACCCCCTCCCTCTCCCCGCTCTCTCTCCACCCCCCTCTCCCCCTCCCCCTCCTCCGCCTCCCCCTCCTCCGCCTCCCCCTCCTCCGCCCCCGCCCCCACCACCCCCTCCTCCACCCTCCGCCCCCTGCAGGCTGGCCTGCCGGCGTCGGAGGCACTGCTCCGCGCGCCCGGCCTGGCGGCGGCGAGCCTCGGCTCGGCAGAGCAGCTGCGCGCCGCCGCCGGCTCGCTGCCGTCCAGGCTGCTCGACCCCTCCCTTGCCCTCAAGCGCGGCCACGCCGCGCTCCTCGCTGTGGCGGCCGGCGCGGCGCTGCCGGCCTTGCCATCTCGCGCGACCTAGGACGTGTCTAGGACGTGTCTAGGACGTGTCTAGGAAGTGTCTAGGCCTTGCCCTCGCGCGACCCCGCCGCTGGCGTGGAGCTGCCCGCGTACGCGTTCGGCGAGGCGCGGAAGCGGCGGCGCGGGCCTGGCGCGCTCTCTTTCCCGCCCGACGACGAGCTTCCCCTCTTCTTCTTCAAACGCGACCAGCCCGACCTCGCCGCCGCCGCCGCGGAGCTCGCCGCCGCCGGCGCGGCTGCCGCCGCAGAGGAATGGCCGGGCGAGGTGGGGCGAGGTGAGCCGATGCGGGACGAGAGTAGGCGCGGCGGCTGAGGCGGAGGCGAGCGCGCTCGAAGGGAAGCCGAAGAAGAAGAAGGGCAAGGCTGCGCCGGCCTTGGATGCGGAGGAGGACGAGGCGGAGTTCGACTTCGGCGCAAAGCCAAAGAAGAAGAAGGCGCCCAAGGCGGAGGCGGCGGCGGAGGAGGAGGAGGCCGCATTCGACTTTGGGGCGAAGCCGAAGAAGAAGAAGAAGGAGAAGAAGGAGGCGGCGTCGGAGGACGACGACGACGAGGTCGGCTTCAGCTTCAAGGCTACGGCGGCGCCGGCGGCGGCGGCGCCGGCGAGGGAGGAGAAGGAGAAGAAGAAGAAGAAGGGCAAGGCTCCCTTCGAGGCGGAGGAGGCTGCGGCGGCGGCACCGCCGGCCGCCGCGGCGGCGGACGATGCCGAGATCGCCGCGATGATGGCCGAGCTGGAGGACGAGATATAGACGAGATGTAGCCGAGATGTAGCCGAGATGTAGCCGAGATCGCCGCGATGATGGCCGAGCTGGAGGACGAGATATAGACGAGATGTAGCCGAGATGTAGCCGAGAGATGAGCCGAGATCGCCGCGAGGATGGCCGAGCTGGAGGACACTTCCTAGACACTTCCTAGACACTTCCTAGACACCTCCTAGACGCTTCCTAGACACTTCCGAGGATGGCCGAGCTGGAGGGCTCGCCCAGCGGCCGCCGCTCTGTGAGTCGTGAAGAGCGGAGGGGGAGCGGTCAAGCGCTGTCGCCGTAGGACTCGCGCGACGAAGACGCCATCAAGGCGGCGATCGCGTCGAAGCGGGCCGCGGCGGACGCCGAGGGCGGTTCCGCCGACGCTGGCGGCTCGGGCGCGGGGGTGAGCGGCGCGGACGAGGCCGCGGACGGCGAGGAGGACGGCGGCGGCGGCGGCGGTGTGGGGGCGCTCGGCGCGGGAGGGGGGAAGAAGGGGAAGAAGGACAAGAAGAAGAAGAAGGGGAAGGAGAAGGCGGACGCGGGCGACGACGAGGACGACGAGATGGCGATGCTCGATCGTGACATGGCTGTGAACGGCGTCTCTTCACACCTCCAGCTGTGAACAGGACGACGAGATGGCCATGCTCGATCGTCTCGCGGCGGAGAACGCGGCGCTGCGAGGCGACGACGGCGCCGCCGACGCAAAGAAGAAGAAGAAGAAGAAGAAGGGCGAGGCCGACGGGGGCGGTGGCGACGGCGGCGACGGCGGCGGCGAGGGCGGCGGCGACGGCGGCGCGGAGGGCGGCGGCGCGGAGGGCGGCGGCGAGGGCGGCGGCGGGGGCGAGGGCGAGGGCGAGGGCGAGGAGGGGGGCGAGGGCGGCGACGGGAAGCCTCTCTCGAAGGCGCAGAAGAAGAAGGCCAAGGCCAAGGCGAAGAAGGGGGACGAGAAGGCGCGGGCGCAGCAAGCGGGTGCGCGGAGAGAAGGCCGTGCGGCGGGCGTGACCGGCGGCCCGCCCCCTTCCTGTCTGCAGGACGAGGGGAAGAAGCCGAAGAGTGCGATCGCGGAGAAGCTGCGTGCGGCGCAGGAGGCGCGCGCGCGCGAGGAGGCCGCCATGACGCTCGCTCAGGAGCTAGCCGAGGAGGCTCAGCGGCTCGACAAGGCTCTGGCCGTGGTGCGGTTCAGCGACATGCTCGAGGACGTCGGCGTAGTTTCTGTTTCGGAGGTGTACTTCTTTTTCCATAGGTGCGGCTCGGCGACAAGGCGCTGCGCAAACTCGATTCGGCGGAGGTGCCGAGATGCAGCCGAGATGCAGCCGAGATACAGCCGAGATACGGCCGAGATGGCCGAGATGGGCCGAGATCGACAGAGGCGCTCCCCGACCACCACGACACGTTCATCACCACGTCCGACGACACGTCCATGACACGTCCACGACACGCCTGATGACGCCCGCGATACGCGCCCCCGTGAAACGCGGCCGCATGGCACGCCCCCCCGAGGTGTCTGCCGAGATCGACGAGCTGGTCGCCAAGTCGGCGGCGGCTGCGGCGGACTACTCCGAGTACGACCGCATCCTCAAGATTGGAGACGCCGTCACCGAGCTCCGCTCGGCGATGGACGCACAGGCCCCTTCCTAGACACTTCTTGCGGACACCTCCTAGACACCTCCTAGGCACCTCCTAGGCACTCTCACTGAGGAGCGGCGCCGCCGCCTAACTCACCCCTCATCCACCCTTCATTCACCCGTATTCAGGTCTGAGCTCGAGGAGCGGCGCCGGCGCGCCTCATCAACGAATGAACGAATGAACGAATTACTCAGGTCGAGCTGGAGGAGCGGCGCCGGCGCGCGCGCGAGAAAGAGAAGGAGCGGCGTGAGCGGATGCGCGCCGAGGGCAAGCTCCTCACCAAGGCCGAGCGACAGCCGAGAGACAGCCGAGCGACAGCCGAGAGACAGCCGAGCGACAGCCGAGAGCAGCCGAGAGACAGCCGAGAGACAGCCGAGAGACAGCCGAGCGACAGCCGAGAGCAGCCGAGAGAGAGCCGAGAGAGAGCCGAGGCATGGCTGCTCACCACAGCTCAGCGCGGGAGCGGGCGGCCCTCGGGGCGGCCTGGCCGAGAGAGTGTGAGCGGCGTCTCTTCACAGCCGCCGCGTGTGTGGGCGGCAGGCAGAGCGTGACAAGGCGGCGAAGGCGCAGGCGTACCTCGAGTCGCTAGGGGGGAGGGCCGGCGTCGGCGGCGGCAGCGCCGAGGCGGAGGAGGGGGGCGGGCAGCGGAAGCGCGTGGTGTATGGGAGCCGGAAGCGGCCGCCGAAGAAGGCGGCGGCGGAGGAGGGGGAGGGCGCTGCCGAGGCCGCGCCGGGCGGAGGGGCGGGGGGCGGGGGGGCGGAGGAGGCGGCGGAGGAGGAGGCCGAGGCGGCGGCGGAGGCGGAGAAGGAGGACGAGGCGGAGGGCGAGGAGGAGGACGACTGGGACGCTCTGGACGTGGACGCAGCACTGGAGGCGTCGGGGCTACCACACACCGACATGGTACCCGCCTAGTCCCCGCGCCCAATACCCTACACGCACCGACTCGAATCCAGGCGAAGGGGCTCGCGCCGAGCGACGACTCCGAGGAGGAGGAGTTTGTGCAGGCGCCGGCGGGAGGGCTGCATCTCGGCTGCACCTCGGCTCTGTCTCGGCTGCACCTCGGCTCTGTCTCGGCTGTACCTCGGCTGTACCTCGGCTGCATCTCGGCTGTACCTCGGCTGTACCTTGGCTGTACCTCGGCTGCATCTCGGCTCTGTCTCGGCTGTACTTCGGCGGTACTTCGGCTAGGCGCCGGCGGGCGGGCTGTCCTCCAAGCTCGAGGCGCTGCAGGAGGAGTCGCGCAAGGCTCGCGAGGAGGCGGAGCGCGCGGCGCGGGGGGCCGCCCGAAGTGCTGCGCTGTCCGAGACCGTCTCCGAGACACTTCCGAGAGGTTTCCTGGCAGGCGCGCGAGAAGCTCGACCGGCTGTACAACTTTACGCCCAAGGAGGAGGAGGGGGAGGAGGAGGAGGAGTCCGGGGACGACTCGTCCGAGGACGAGGACGAGGCGGGCAAGGCGCGCTCTGTCTGTCTGTCTGTCTCTCTCTCTCTCTCTCTCTCTCTCTCTCTCTCTCTCCCTCTCTCTCCCTCTCTCTCTCTCTCTCTCTCTCTCTCTCTCTCTCTCTCCCTCTCTCTCTCGGCGGCGGCGGCGAGGCTCGAGCTGCCTCCCCCATCTCTCCCCATCTCTCCTCAGATCTCCCCACATCTCCGCAGGCGGCGGCGAGGCTTGAGCGCGAGGTGCGGGAGATATGGGGGAGATATGGGGGAGGTATGGGGGAGGTATGGGGGAGGTATGGGGAGGTATGGAGGAGGTATGGGGAGACTTGGCACACGCACACGCACGCACTCCCACAGGCACGCACACACGCTCACGCACACACGCATGTCTCCCCACATCTCCCCATACCTCCCCACCTCCCAGGCGCGCACCAAGGCGGCGATGGCGGCTCGCACACCCGACCGGCTGCGCTCGCCCATCTGCTGCATCATGGGCCACGTCGACACGGGCAAGACCAAGCTGCTCGACAACATCCGGCGCACAAACGTGCAGGACGGCGAGGCGGGCGGCATCACCCAGCAGATCGGCGCCTCCTTCTTCCCGAACGAGACGCTCTGCGACCGGATGGGCTCGCTGCTGGCGAAGAACAAGGCGACCGCGCGCGAGCCCGGCGTGATCAATGCACATTCATTCTTATTGATTACTAATGCAACAAAGGTGGCCGTGCGCGTGCCCGGCTTGCTCATCATCGACACGCCCGGCCACGAGTCCTTCTCGAACCTGCGCTCGCGCGGCTCCTCGGTGCCCCCCCCACCCCCCCACCTTTACCCTCGCGCCACCCTTGTGCCATGTTCCGTGTTCACTCCCGCCACCACATGCGCCCTCACACGCGGTGCCGCGGCGCAACACGCGTGTCCTACCCCTCCCCGCCCCCACAGCTCTGCGACATCGCCATCCCCTCCACACCCCTCCCTCTCCACACCCCTCCCCGCCCCACAGCTCTGCGACATCGCCATCCTCTCCACACCCCTCCCTCTCCACACCCCTCCCCGCCCCACAGCTCTGCGACATCGCCATCCTGGTGATCGACATCATGCACGGGCTCGAGCCGCAGACCATCGAGTCGATGAACATGCTCCGCGCCAAGCAGACGCCCTTCGTCATCGCCCTCAACAAGGCGGACTCCCCATCTCTGCCCCCACCTCTCCCCACCTCTCCCCACATCTCCCCACATCTCCCCCACATCTCCCCCACACCTCCCCACACCTCCCTCACATCTCCCTCACATCTCCCCGCATCTCCCCCACATCTCCCCCACACCTCCCCGCATCTCCCCCACATCTCCCCGCACCTCCCGCGGGCCGCAGGTGGAGCGCACGTGCCACACAGCCGAGCTGCAGTGGCCCATGGCCGGCCCTCGACCAGTGAGGCGCCAGCCTCTTAGGTGGACCGGCTCTACGGCTGGAGCGAGGCAAAGGACCGGCCTTTCATCGAGGCGATCGAGGAGCAGGACGACGGCGTCAAGCGCGAGTTCGAGAGCCGCGCCTCCGCCATCCTGCTCTCCATCGCCGAGCAGGACCAGACGCAATCTCTCCCCACCTCTCCCCGTCTCCCCATCTCTCCCCATCCCTCCCCATCCCTCCCCATCTCTCCCCACCTCTCCCCATCTCTCCCCATCTCTCCCCATCTCTCCCCATCTCTCCCCATCTCTCCCCATCTCTCCCCATCCCTCCCCATCCCTCCCCATCTCTCCCCATCTCTCCCCATCTCTCCCCATCTCTCCCCATCTCTCCCCATCTCTCCCCATCTCTCCCCATCTCTCCCCATCTATCCCCATCTCTCCCCATCTCTCCCCATCTCTCCCCACCTCTTCCCACCTCTCCCCACCTCTCCCCATCTCTCCCCATCTCTCCCCACCTCTCCCCACCTCTCCCCACCTCTCTATCGCCGAGCAGAGGCCCAGGCGCCGCAACGGAGCAGCTGAGCCGTTGTTCACTCCTCCGCCTCCCTCTCCGCCGCGCTGCAGGGCCTCAACGCGCAGCTCTACTACCGCAACAAGGACCCGCGCGAGTGCGCCACCCTCGTCCGGACGTCGGGAAGCCAACCCGCTCCTCATTGCTCCTCATTGGCTCCTGACTCATCACCGGCTTTAGGTACATCTCCCTCGTCCCGACGTCAGCACACACGGGCGAAGGGGTGGCCGACATCCTGATGAACCTCGTGGGCATGACGCAAAAGATGTTTGTGGACCGCATCATGTGGACGCCGATGGCGAAGTGCCGCGCCGACCTCCGCGACACGTCCGGGACACGTCCAGGACACGTCCCGACAGGTGGACGCCGATGGTGCAGTGCACCGTACTCGAGGTCAAGGTGATCGAGGGGCTCGGCGCGACCGCCGACGTGACCCTCGCAAACGGGGCGCGGGGCGGACACGCCCACGACACGTCCACGACATGTCCGAGACATGTCCTTAGGTGTGCCGCGGCTGCAGGCGGACACGTCCACGACACGTCCACGACACGTCCGAGGCGTGTGCCCCCGTAGGTGATCCTCGCCAACGGCACTCTCAAGCGCGGGGACCGGATCGTCATGTGCGGCTTTGGCGGGCCGGTCGTCACGCGCGTGCGCGACCTGCTCACGCCTCGCCCGCTGCGCGAGCTGCGCGTCAAGGCCGACTACCTCCACCACCAGGAGCCCGACCGCCCCTCCCGGCTGCTCCCCTCGGCTCACCTCGGCTCCACCTTGGCTCCTCTCGGCTCACCTCGGCTCACCTCGGCTCCACCTTGGCTCCTCTCGGCTCACCTCGGCTCCTCTCGGCTCCTCTCGGCCTCCCCTCGGCTCCACCTCGGCTCACTTCGGCTCACTTCGGCTCACTTCGGCTCACCTCGGCTCACCTCGGCCTCACCTCGGCTCACCTCGGCTCATCTCGGCTCACCTCGGCTCACCTCGGCTCCACCTCGGCTCACCTCGGCTCACCTCGGCTCACCTCGGCTCACCTCGGCTCCACCTCGGCTCACCTCGGCCTCACCTCGGCTCACCTCGCCCACCAGGAGATCGACGGCGCCGCCGGCATCAAGATCTGCGCCAACCACCTCGAGAACGTCGTGGCGGGCTCCGCCTGCCTCGTCCCGTTCAAGGACGTGCCGTACGACCTCGAGGCGCTCAAGCAGGACGCAACGGGCGCGTCTTCTTTTCTTTCTTCCAGCCGTGTTTTCTTTTCTGTAGGTGCTCAAGGAGGACGCGATGGGCGAGCTTGTAGACAAAGCCGGCCGAGGCACTGCGGCGGCACGGAGGTGCAGATCGGTACCAAGTCATTCCTAGGCGACCTCAACGAGCTGCGGCCAAGGCGGCGACACGTCCACGGCACGTCCACGACATGTCCGAGACGTGTCGGATAGGCGACCTCAACAAGCTGGCTAAGGCGGCGTCCGAAGTGAACGGCGGGCTCGGCGTCTACGCGATGGCGTCGACCCTCGGCTCGCTCGAGGCGCGGCTCGGGCTCCGTACCGCACATCCAGAGTACCGAACCCAGTGTGGGTTCAGTCCCGTGGGCGGTGCGGTAGGCGCTCCTCGAGTTCCTCAAGACGTCAAAGGTCCCCCCCCCCCCCCCC